ATCTATACTTTCTGGTGCCAGTTTTGCACCAAAGTATCAGCATAGGAACTTGTAATAAAGTCAAGCGTGAGAGCACTTAACAAGGCGAGGCGGGTTAAGCACTTAGTTGAATGAAACATGGTATCAATCTTTGACACAGTTGCAAACTGAATGATTTCTTTTTACCACAGATTCGGATAACAATGGAATTGGATTTTGGAGGATTTTCACTGATGTGAAGACCCTTGAACTGTTCCTTGCCTAAAATATCCACTTCCATGGCAATCATGTGCTTTGTCATCCACTCCATAAGAAATGTACTCTTGGAGCACTTATTTTGAAGTGAAATGCTAGAGGTTGCGAATTGTTTCCTGCCTTTAGGGTGCTCATATGCTATCATAATTAAGAAAAATAGGGCCTAAATCCTCAAAGGAGGGTAAGGAGGTCAAGAAACAACAGAAGTAATAATTATTTTGTTTTCCTCTCCAATGCCCTTTTAAAACGAGTAAGACTTTATCATCATCAGGTACAACCTTTGGTTAGTAGCCAGATCACCACAAATAGCCTCAAAGGGTTGAAAGTACTTAAGAATAAATGAAGACACATGCTTCTAGTTTTGCTTGCCCACAAACAGTCTCATTTCTCTGGCCTTTGATTTTCAGCATAGCTGAAATGTCCTGAGCAGTTGGGAGATCAGCGATACCTATAAGTATGTCCATGGATATGGAAGCAAATTGGCTACTGACAATAATGTTATCTTGGCTTCTCCATCTTTCAAACTCTGGATTAAGTTGAAGTACTTTTAAGTTTGGCCTATTGTTAACTTTTTTGAGAGACATTGTGGAGGACGAGGTCTGGACCCATCAAGAAATCCAAATGCATTTTGGATTTTGATCTTCTTCCTAATCAAATTGTGGAAGAAGTGGATAGAAAATGAAAGAAATTTGATCTTCTCAGAAGAGGAAGGTGATAGAAATTGAAAGGTTGAGGATTCACTAACTCTTACTAATTAGGGTTTTCTTTCACCCATAGCTCCATCTCAAGGTTTTGGGGAAGAGTAGTAAACTCTTGTAACCTTTATCTCACCAATTTTTTAATACATAAAGGAGTCCATCACAAGAATGTAAATTAATACCCTTGCACAAATCATACAAAAAAGAATAGCTTATACATAAAGGATGATAATTTTCCAAGTAAGAGTTTTCTAGATTAACATTTTCTCTTTACTAGAGTAGTTTCATACGCAAGCCATTTACATCATAACAGAGTAGCTTTACAAGAGTAGTTTCATATAAAAGATTACTCATTCCTAAAGGAATCACATAATAGCCAAATATGTGAAAGTCATTTCTTCATATACCAATTTCCCACTTTCTACTCTAACCACATGTCCATTGTAATCTGTGGGTTGTTGTGAGTGCATTTAAAAGGCATTACACAAAACCTCTAACTTCAAGGTATTCAAATCGAGGTGGTCATAAATACTTTAAATATTTTTTGTAAAATTCTACTAAAAATAGCTAGAGGGAACACAAAGACAGGTTAATGGGGGTCACCATCATCACGGCATCAGGGATTATATGGTAAAAGATCATCATCATCATCATCATAATCCAATTATTTGAGATCGGCTACATGAATCCTGGTCTGTCATTCTACTCTATCAAGGGCCATAACCTGAGTAAGGTCATAAGTCCCCATATCTTTTCTTATTACCTCCAACCATGTCCTTTTGGGCCTACCCCTTATCCGTTTTGAGCCTTCCACTTGAACCAACTCGTATTTTCTAACAGGTATCGAATTGGGTCTTTTCTACACATGGCTAGCCCAATTAAGTCTACTTTCTCTTATAAGTTCTCCCAAATGTATTCATTTCGAATTCTATCTCTTCTTGTCTTGCCAGTCATCTGTCTCGACATCCTCATCTCTGCTAAATTCATCCTATGGGTATGTTGTTTATTGACGGCTTAGTATTCTAGCCATAAAGCAAAGTTGGTCTCATAGTTGTCCTATAAAACTTCCCCTTCAGCTTCATTGGTATGCGGTGATCACATAAAACTCCAGTTGCACATCTCTACTTTCCCCACCCAGCTCTAATTCTATGCACGACACATTCCTCAATCTCTCCATTTTCTTGGATTATCGACCCAAGATATCGAAAGTGTGCTCTTTTTGGTATTTCTTGGCTATCAACCTTAACTACTTCATTGTCTCTACTCATATTATCATTAAACTTGCATTCAATATACTCTAACTTAGTCCGGCTAATTTTAAAACCTTCAAATTCTAAAGCATCCTTCTAAAGTTCTTTGTGTGGTTGTTGCTTCGGGTCTCATCAATCAAAACTATGTTGTCCACAACAACATACACCAAGGTAGCTCATCTTGTAGGTGCCTAATTAAGCCGTCCATAACTAAGACAGAAGTATGGACCATAGTCGTGGGAACCTTGGGGGTAAGGCCATGTTCCCACGTTGGGAACTCGATCCCGTGGTTCCTCTAAGGAATCTTAGAAGGAGTTGGGTTTAGAGAAATAGGAATCTCACTTCTTATAACATGGGATCTTGGTCTACATGCTTGTAGGATCCCTCCAAGGAGAGGAGCTATACTATTAATTAAACTATTGGTCCTCGACCTAGTATTATGGAATTTATTTCTTTAGAGTATATTAAATTGCAATATACTAGAATTATAGTAATAAAAAAGGTACAGTTTAATATCATAGTAAGCCAATTATGATATTATTAAACTATATTATTGTAGTAAATTGGAGTATTATAACTATGACATTGGTAACAAGCTAAAATATTTGATAATAGATCAAGCGGAAATTGGCTCGATTCTAATTTTATCATATGGTATTCATTGCTCCTATTTTATGTATAGTGGAGCTTCAATTCCTCCAAGTCAAAACCTTGATCCTTGTGACATGGGATATCTCTCTCCCTGATGTCCTAAGATCTAGCTTCTGAATTTGTTGAATGTACAAACGTCGATCCTAACCCCAAGGAACTTCCACCCTATGGCGGTTGAGCATTCCCCGAACCAATCCAATTCCCGAACCCACTCTAGCCTCCAACAACTATGGTATGGGCTCAATACTAACCTCTAATGTAGACCTACTGTCACTAAGGGTGTGTTTGCCATGTGGAGTTCTTAGGAGTGGAAGTGACTCTCCCACAAATTATGGAAGACTAATCTTCCATCATTTTTTATGGAAGGGAGGTCTTCCAAAAATGAACCCATTTTAACACTAAAAAAAGTTGTATGGAAGGCCTCCCTTCCGCTATACAGCTTCCACACAGTAATATCAATCATGGAAGTGGGAAATTTGACTCCTACTTCTAGTACTCCCACTTATCAAACACGCCCTAAAAACTCACTCTTTTTTCCACTAGTTGTCTACATACTAGTTAGCGCTCCCTTGTACATATCTCACCCCAAGTCGATATAATATCTGAAGACTCTTTTCTGTTCCTACACTCACCAAATTAAATCTCGAGGTACTCTATAATAAGCTTTCTCTACATCAATAAAAACCATGATAGCCCTTTGCCCTAAACTTCTCAATCAATTGCCTAAATAAGAAAATAGCCTCAGTTGTTGACCTCCCTAGCATAATATCGAATTGGTTTTTCGATACACTCGTTTCATGCCTTAGTCATTGCCCATCACCCTCTCCCACAGGTTCATAGTATGGCTCATAAGTTTAATCTCTTGAAAGATTGCACAATTCTGTATCTCTTTTATTCTTATAAATAGGTACCACAATACTTTTCTTCCATTCGTCTGGCATTTTCTTTGTTCTCAACACCTTATTGAACAACCTGGTCAACCAACCAATACCAATCTTCCCTATGTACTTCCAAACCTCTATCAGAATACTATCTGGTCCTAAAGCCTTCCTACCTTCATCTTCAAAGCTCCTTTCAATTTCGATATCCTAATTCTACAAATGTATCTATGAACTTTGCACTCATATATGCCAATGTTTCTTTCTCTGCCTGTGTTCCTATTGTGTTTGTCATTTAATAATTTTTTAAAATAAGCTCTCCACTTTTTATTGACCTCTTCATCATTTACCAAGACCCTTTGATCATCACTCTCAGTGCATTTCATATGGTCTAGAATCCTATATTTTTTCTCTCTCATTTTTGTTAATTTGAAAACATCTTTTTCACTGTTACTTGTTCTCAGTTTGCTATATAAATTATCATACGCCTAAAGTTAAGCCTAATTTACCATTTGTTTAGCGCTTTTCTTAGCATTTTTATACTCTTCTAAGTTTTGATCATTTCTAATACATTGTCAGGTTTTATAACATGACCGTTTGTTGCTAACGGCCTTCTAAACCTCATCATTTCACCACCAAGTTTCCTAATCAAAATATCTTTTCTTTCTAGTTTCTCCTAAAACTTCTTTTACCACTTTCTTAATACAGTTAGCCATCTCATTCCACATAATGTTGACCACATGTTCAACATTCTATTTTCCTTCTTTAACTAATTTATTGCTAAATAGGTCGATCTTCTCATTTTTTAAATTCCACCACCTAGTTCTTGAACATCGATTAATTTCACCCTTTCTCTTCGATCTCTTTATGAAAACGTTCATTTCCACGAGGCTATGTTGCGTGGTCAAACTCTCTCCTAAGATAAACTTGTAGTTTGATTATATGTTAAATGATAAAACATGAAAATAATGCATAATCACCAAGAGACAAATAATTGTCTCAGCATGGTAGATTGAAGAACCAATGCATCTGACATAATGTCAAAAAATACAAAATATTATTCTAACATCTCAGGCTATAATAAATATTATAATTTCTAAAATACTCTTTTCAGGACAATCCATTCGTTTCATGTTTTCAACCACAAAAGAAAATAAATAGGGCAGTATCTCAGCATGGGCACAAGCACATAAGTTTTGTTTTCTTCTAGTTTCAATCAATCACTCTTATTAACAGATAATGATTCAAAATATGATATGAGATGTGGAATAAGTAGAAATATAGTTCACCTTGCAGTGATGAACTCTGATTTCCTGGATCAGATGTTCCGCAATCTGACCAAGTGCTTTGCCTGCTTCTAAAACCATCAAAATGGCACTTACTTACCGACCCTGAACTTCCAGAAGCTTCTTGTAAATGACATGGCAATGGAAATATTATTACAATTGTACTTTGCACAACGGATCGACAGAATCTTTACCAAAGTAAAACCATAATATGATCCATATGGACAACCATGGCCTGTGGGAATATCACCATCCAATCAAATGGTTGGATGGTGATCTAGAGAGGATGGGCTGTACAGTAACTGAAACTGTATGGTGGGACGCACTTCCTCCAACCCATTCATGGGATGGTGAAATCATTGTGACCATACATAGATCATATTATATGGGCCCTTCACCAAAATATACGAGAAAGTATTTATGAAGATCCTTAAGTGCAGTAAGAAGAATACCAGGTGAGGTTTGGGCAGTTTTCACATGTGAGGAAGATGAGGCTTCCTGCTGAACATAACCAGGGTGATCTCGACCCAGTGCAGGAGAAAAAGCTTGAAAGACATGTACTGGCATCAAATCTGCTAGGCATTGCAACAAGTAGAATATCAAGATACTAGTTCATATAGAATTATAGCCTTCCAAGTTCCTAGAATTCTGTCATAAACTATCTCAGTTTAGATATTACCACTATTATGACCATTCTTGGAGGCTTTTCGAGGGTATGGATGAGCCACTTTCCTCTTGAGTCTAGGAGGGGGCACATGTTGACTTGTACCATTCTTCTGAACCTTTAAAAAGTACTTTTGTGCATGGCTCCGAATCTGAAAAGAAAGAACTTTTAGACACTAAAAAACCATCATGTGCACATAGAATGAGTGCAAAACCATCATCACTAATAATTATCACTGAGCTTCGAAGTATAACCAAGCAAGCAGAGGTATTGATGTATTGTGTTATAAAACAGAATTTGCTTGTATGGGGCCCAAAGCAGGGAAAGAAAAGGAAAAAGAAATATAAACTGAAAAGAGAAAAATAAATTTTCAGGAATGAGAATCAACTATTCACAGTTTTTCTAAAGAAAAAAGGAAATGAACATAAAGGATGTCATACCTGATCAACAATATCAAGATGCAATAGTTGTATCATAAGATATAAATATGACCAATTACTGGGTATAACCTTAATTAGAAACTGGTAGTAGAAGCCAAAGCAAAAAAAGGAAGATCAAATAACCTAATGATGTACATTTTATTCATTCCACTAGTATTCTGCTCCTTTTTATATGAACTTTATGTCAAAACATAAAAGCCCTAGCAGGGAAGGAGAACAAAACAGACGGTCATTCTTGATGATTCAAGAGATAGCAAAGGAATTCATCCTCATATACAACGAATGTGCAGTAGAAAAAGATCAATACCTTTCTATGCAAGTGTGCATCAATGTTATAGACTTTACACACACACACATGTACATCAACGCTTCGAATATGCACAGCATTCAAAACAAAATAAAAAAAGAATAAATTGATTATCTTTTGCAGTGCACACTGCAGGTGTACTCTCATTTTCTACAGTTATTTGCTCCCACTAATCTATTACCTCATATTGTAAGCCTGTCATAAAATCTATTACTGAAAATATCAAAACATATCATAGCTTTCACAAAGACTAAGGTAATATACTACGCATATTTCATCTTTAGACATAATGATATGACAAAACTCATACACTTGGTAGCATAAATAATCTAAAACATTGTGTTTTTAGGTACAAAACGGAACTGCCTAGAACACCATAGTAAGAAAAACTATAATGGCAAAAATATCTGTGTTAAATGTTTCTGCAATAACATTAATAACTCAGGACAAGAAACTATGTGTAAAGGTTAAAGTATGCATTGAAAAGCACATGCCATTATCTCCTACTACCAGCTACATATTTTTATCCATTGGAAGCTATACATGTATATTGACAAGCTTGTTCAGTTCTAGGATAAATAATTCAACAACTACAGACAAGTAGTGAAAAAAATTATTTCATTGATTTATTATAAATTCTGAGAAGTAAGAATTCTATAAAAAAAATGAAACTGAAAAGGAAAGTTTACACCTTTGGAAACCTAGGAATCAATAAAATGGTAGCTAGCTCCTCAAAAAAAGGAAATCCCAATAATGATAGCCCAAAAATTATCTCTAGATTATCCTTCATTTTCTTTATTACGGATTTCCAGATCTGCTACAAAAATATACAGAAAGAAAATGGAAATATTTCTGCCATAGGTTTCTATTTCTATCAGACAATTCGACTTGGTGTACAAACTTGATGCAGTAGCTTGGAGCAAGGGTTTACTATAGAAGAAGATAGGGAAGATCCAAAATTATATAAAGATGCAAAAACCAAAGATAAAATAAGGAGCATCTGCTGCTCTAGGGTTTTGAATAAGAGTCCACATAACATAATCATCCATTGTGCTTGAGTACATCCTTTATGTAAGAAAACCCTAAACAAGACCTAATCTTGGACATCCATCTAATCTAATCATGGCCATTTATTAGAAAATATTTTAAGGGAATAAAAACACATAAAAGACTCTAGAAATTACTACTTATACCCTTAAGTGAATAAAAAAAATGAGAAATAAATAAAAGACATAAAAGGATAGACTCAATGACTAATTTACCCTTCTGGGGTTCCTCTTGTAAACTTTAAGTTTATCTCTCTTGTCTAGATACTCAAGAGCCGTATTTAAGGTTGTATCAATCCCCCCTTCCTCAAAAGAATTCACCCTCAAATTCAACGGCTCATTGTCGGAGGTATCACCACGATTTGAAATGAGATGTTTGATATTAAAAACATAGAAAGTGCAAATATGGCTAGATGGCTAGGAAACCTCAACTTGTAGGCATTGTCATTAATCTTCTGCACCACTTCACACAATCCAATCTTACATTGGCTCAGCTTATGATATTCCCCTGCTGGAAATTTATCTTTATCATGACAGCCCACTCAAAATCTCCAACATCAAAAATCCTATGCTGGCGATGCTTTTCAGCGGCTGCCTTATATTTGGAATAATACTCAATCCAACGAATTGTCTTCAACAAAGAACACAATCACCTGTTTTGGACCAAATAAAATATCAGACATATGACAACCTCTTTATAAAACATTTGGCACTGCCTGATCATGAAACCCCTTCATGTCAATCTTGGCAAATACAACATGAGAAATTAGTAAGAGAAATTAATTTTCCTGATAAGAAACTTCATTCTGCCTTGGTACAGAATTTACTGCTTCACCTCTATCAAGAGTATGATTTTTTGTCCAAATAGGGGAAGCCCATTCTAGTGCACCATACCATTCAAGAGATAACCAATATTGTCCATAGACTTCCATTGGTTCTAATCCCTGATGTACAAGGCCATATATGGCAATAATTCCATAAGCATACTGATTTGCAAGCCAACAATATGGACAATACTTGACTGCTAGCAACAATAGTGCTAGATTCTCATGTCTAGCATCAACGAGGAATATGCACTTTTCCCCTATTTTGACGAGAACCAATTCAAGAAAAGAAGAGAAAAATGTCATCCAAAGTACTGAATATTTGACCCCATCTTCACCATCATAAACACCGTCACCACCATTGTCATCGTAGCCAATAGCATGTTCTTCATTGAAGATAGGACCTTATTCTTTCTTTTCATCAAAACCTACTTCTTCATCATAAATTGATTCTTCTACCAAACTTGAATCCTCATCAAGGTACTCATCAAAGATTGATGATAAGTTCCCATGATAACTGTAGGTAAATTCCAGGTCCTCTTCATCAACCAGCTCATTATATATGGGATCACCTTCGAAAGAATGCTTGTTGTCGTCATCATAAAACTCCGGGATCTCCACCTTGAGACTGGTTTCCCATCTCCTACTATCCCTATCTGTATGATCAACTACCTCTCTCCTTGGAGCTTGATCATGGAAGTGATTTATGGATTCCTTATCTACCTCGATCTCATACTCCTAAGAAGGGACTTCCATCTGCACCAAACACACAGAGCTAGGGTTTTGACCAATCTCCTCAGATCTGCAATCCTTTCTCGCGAACTAGCATCAAAGGCTTCTATGATTGTAGCTTTTCCTCCTTTTCCTCTATGTGGAGGCATGGTTGTAGATCTAGGGTACAAAAATGGCGCTACAGTACCATGTTACAATAAATTGCTACAGTTTAGTGCTAGAGAAATGTGCTATAATACCGTACGACAATACCAGCCTTACTTATCGCCGAGCTTTGATACCAACCTAGAACAGACCTAGTAGCCTGAGCTAGGATTTCAGCAAAGGAGAGAGGGAAGATTCACAAGTAAAGAAAGATTCAAAAACCAGAGGTAAAAGAAGGAGCACTTGTTGCTCTAAGATAAAAGTTCATAACATGATCATACATTGTGTTTGAGTACATCCCTTATAAAAAAACGCTAAACAAGACTTAATCCTAGCCATCCATCTAATATAAACATGGCCATCTATTATAAAAGACTTTTACTGAGTGAATGAAAAGGCATAAACGACTCTAAAAAATACCACTTATGCCCCTAAGTGAATAAAAAGACTCAAAAAATAAATAAAAGACATAAAAGGATAGACTCAATGACTAATTTGCCCTTCTATGATTCCTCCTGTAAACTTTAAGCTTATCTCTTTTGTCTAGATACTCAAAAGCAACGTTTTGGGCTGCATCAGTATTGATACAGTAAATATGTTTAAGATGATGCAAGCTATTGTTCTCCATATTATTTCATATTTTTTTTAGCCTATAAAGGGACTCCTCTTCAAGTAAAGTCTAACTCTAAAGGTTGCATTAGAAGCCCTAACTTGGGTCATGAGAATGTAACGAAGGTACATCTACTTTGTGCATGCTTTTCCACAGCTTCTCAATCCTTAACATGATGGTATCAAAGTTCTTCACTTTAAGCTCAATTACAAGACAACTAACAAGACAGGAAATGAAAACAAGAAGAGAAAAATACGAGTAAGGGAAACAAATTTTTTTCTCGATCTCCAAATATTGGATCATCCACCATAGACAGAATCAACAACAGAAATTTTCTTTTGTCCTAATTCTTGGACCACAATCTCTATTGACAAATGAGGTTTCAAGTTATTATCTAGTGATTGTGCAATTATTCCACCCACAATTCTTGGACCACGATCTGTTTTAGTATTGAGCAAAATCATAGAGAAGAAATCTACACAAGAGTGAGTCTAAAGGTTTCACTTCTAAATTCACTTAAACCTATAAAAAGCGTTTTAAAATCCCATTCAATTAGAAGACACATTTTTCTGTCATGAAATTATTTCCTAAATATGAGAAAAAGGATATTTGCAGAAGAATGTGTCTAAATTTTAAAAATATGCAATAAATGGAGCTTCTAAGATTGGATGTCTTGTTATCCTAGAATCTGAACATGTGGGGAGATTCTTTAGAGGATGATAAGGTTCCACTAGAATATCACAGAGCAAATGTTTTATGGCCTCAACAAATGAGATCAAAAATCATGCTCAATGTACTCAGGTATAGATAATATTTTTCCTTGCTTGCCATCTAAGCTCATTCCCAAGATCTTGGATCCATGATTCAGGGGCATATAACCATACTACAGGGACCTCAGGTAATTTCACTTACTTCAACCATTCTTAGATAAAAGAAATACCATTTTCATGGATAGTCATCTGACCTAAGTCATTGGATTGAGGAATTAGAAAATTATCACTTTTTTTTTCTGAAGGTGTACATCTCTTGATCACTTTTGTGGCTCTTCACTCTTCACATTACGAGCTTCCCAACAAATAAATGGAAAAGAAAAATGCACATGATATGCATATTGATTCAAGTGAAGGATCAATGTGAGCTGTTGTACATATTATTGCGTATTTCATAATAGGCTTAGATATACTATTTGGTAAAAACATAGTTGTTGATGTGTACTATGAAGAGAAAGGTTCATGCAACTCATAAAAATGATAAAACTGATGAAATAATACAGCTTAAACATAAATGCAGCATCTTTCTAACATGGTAAAAACAAAATGTTTTACCTTTGGTTTCCTTATTATAAGGAAAAAAGATTCCTTTCATGTGTCAACACTAGATATATGCCTAACTGTGGCAATCTGAGTTCCACTAGACAAAGGAATGCCCCATAATAGATTGTATAAGTACCTGAATAACAGTTTTTGAACCAACAAATGCTTCAATTTTTTTCCAGTCGCGGTCAAATCTGAATAATTCAACAGAAAAGAAAAAACAGGAGGCAATGTTCAGTGGCTCATAATGGATTTACTGGGGCTTGTAAGCCCTAATAACTGGTGTTACATTCCAAAGAAGCAGGAACTCTAAGAGAATTCAACAGATACATCACTCAAGCATATAATAGTACAATCTTATAGAACTTGGTTAGTTAGTTACCCTCAACAGAAACGATGATAAAAAAGAAGAAATGTTAAACCCCAGGAGATGAGTGCACTACAAATTTCTTGGAAGGACAAAACAATCATCTTCTAAAACTTCGTTTAAAGACCACATTAAACCCTCATTTCGAGGGTAAGGAGTGCAAGCATTAGGAACATAAAGTACAGACCAATACACATTGTTTTCCTGTCCCATAGCATGTCATTCAGGCTTTAAGTTCATAGCATGTTGTGCAGGCTTTAAGCTCATACAAGCTCATACATGAAATACGTAATGAAGATGAATGGTGAGCTCAACTCAGAGGAGTTCTCAAATTCAAAGAAAAAGGGGTTAAGGTAAAAAATGATATATGTTGAATATTCTCTGTGTCTCTGTGACATTATAAAGATCTGAAGGTTCATCTAAGGAAGAAAAAGGAACAGCTAAAAACATAGGATTCAGGGTATATCTTAAACTTCGATCACTCCAATGGTATACACTCACACTTCACCTTCAATTCCAGAACTTTGTAAGACTGCTAAATCAGAATTGTATCTTTTCCTTCCAATGGAACCTTCAGTCAGATTCCATCAAAGAAAATCAGTTGTTAATTTTAGCTAACTCATTTCATGTTTTTCACAGGAAATAATCCCTGGGAGTTTTGTTCAAACCATTTAAATTACTAATTCTGTTAATTTTGGACTGGGAATGGTCAATCTATATAGTGGAAAGCTAAGTTTCTATATATAGATGAAGAAGTTGTGTTTTGAGAGGACCAAGGCACATTCACAATGAGCCCTTGGTGGCAAGCACCAGTCTCTAGTGTATCTTGTAGCATGACCTTGTTATTAGATGAAAAGGGAAGTCTTCTAAGGCCTCAGAACAATAAGACACCCCTCACAAAATACCATAGAATTCCCAAAAGAGGATAAAAGGATCCCGGCTGTTATTGGATTGCCATGGAATACATATGGAGTTTTTTTCATCATTATAAACATGGACCTAGAGTCCATTCTAACTTGAACTAGCTCTAAATCATCTACTAAAATTTCTCTTTGCCATGTATAAGAATATGGTAAATTTATTTTTACCAAAGTCCATGTAAATAATTGCAAGCCTAACAGAATACTTTATAAGACAAGGACACAATAAACGCTGCTTTTTTAGTTTTGCGGGATGCTTTCACATTCATAAATAGATCAAATTAAATAGAAGCACCTGGGGTTCATATGCAACAGGGGAATGGGGACAACATGCAGATAAAGACAAATAGATTATTGGATTGACTTATCATGCTTTACCCAGGTCCCCATTTTATCAATTTGCCTTCATGGTTACATCCCTATTCAGGTTAAACCAACATTAAGCATGAAAAGGGGCAAGCAAGGCCATGTCATATGCATAAACAAACCTAATAAGCCCTAGTAACTATATAAGCTCAAAATTAGAATGAATAGTGAAGCAGGAAAGAAGCAATATAAGTTTCTTGATGCCATTACAGTATTGCTCTAACTAAGATACGCAATTCGCCAAGATTTATGGCACCAAACTAGTGGATATACATTTTATAAAACAAAACCAATATTGCGGTGAATAAATAAAGGTAGTAGAAAGACACAAAAGAGTCGAAACAGACTCGAGTTCTTTTGTTTACATTTTAGACAAAGTTGATATTGCGTATCTTCTTCCTTCTTTCAAAACCAAATTAATATCATCCTACAAAAAATTCAAAGACAAGCAAGACTTCGAGGATCCCAAGTCACAAAGATTGAGGAAAACACGGCCAAGTCCATTCAGATTTATATTTTCCTCATCAAGAAAAAAACATGAAAATCTATCCAAGAAAGGAAGAAAAAGGGTAGTATTTTTAGGAAATCAAGGAAAAAGGAAAAGAAAAGAGGGAAGAGAACACCAGAGCTATAATATATATGTATACAATTGCAGAGCTTCAAGAAACTTATCGTGCTCCTCCCCAGTCCAGATTTCCCTTGATTTAGTGGTTGTGTAAAGCTTTCTGATCTTCTTCACTCCGTCTCCCGAGAATGTTACAGAGGAGTCTAAGGCAGAAAGCGCCATTTCCAAATGATCCTCCAAGGCAGAATGGGTTAAAGACCGAGAAAGAGAGAAGCGTGTCATTCAGAGCTTTCCAAGAGAGTGAGAGAGGTGTTTGAAAGAGAGAGAGAGAGAGAGAGAGAGAGAGAGTAGTAGAGAGAGAGAGAGAGTAGTTAGTAATAAGAAGAGTAGTGTAGTTACGTTATACGAGAACGTAAAGTAGTAACTAGTCGAACCTAACTAGTAGAAGTAGTACGTAAGAAACTCGTA